TGGCGGCCAGAAATTCGATCCACATCCAACTTCACGAGGTGAAAGTGATCGCTTTGATCGAGACGTGATATATTAAGGTCCAAAGTATATAATGGGATGCAGAGATTTATGATCATCATCATCTGTTTTTGACTGACACTGTTATAAACGTTGGTTATATGACTGCAGCTGGATGCAGTAGTTCGTCGATAGCCAAAGAGTTGGCCTATGACGAAGATATCCCAATATACCAAAACTGAGTCTGCTGGATTTACGGTTTTCTTGGCTGCTACTAATTTCTGGGTACGAATTTCCAAAATTCACAAAACCACGAATTCCATGGTTTCGTGAAGTGGAACCATTTGGGTTGTATGACTAGCGCTTGAGCCGAGGAAACGCCAATCATATAACCCAAATCGTTCAAAGTTGGCGTTGCAGAAAGTGTATGGTCTGCCCCACCACTATAATGTTTCGTAATGAAAGCGTCTTACTTTTGACTTATAGGGCAAACTTCTTCCTTATTAATGATTTTTCCCAAACGTGTTCACGGAGTATTGAATGACACTGGCTCAAACAATAGATAGAAGTTAGAACACCAGTAGACTCGAGGCTCGGAGCAAGCGAAAGAGATGTTATTTGCGGTCCTCCAGCTATCTCTCATAATTCATTCTGTTGAATGTAATTCAAATGCCCACTTTTTTTGGACCCGAAACAGAACGAAAATTGCGTATACCAAGCTCAGGCTAATTTCACACTCTATCCGCTCTTCAGCGAGTGATTAGAGGCACGCTTCGTGCGACAACTTTCGTGAGTAAAATAACTCCTTTATAGTGCTGAATCGATTCTTAGAGAAGCGACATTTAGAGATATCCTGGTTTTGAGGGAGTGGCTTGCTCGCCTTCTGCTTTCACAACGTCGGGTGTATGGTCCTGTGGGACAACCTCTACCGCTTAAGAACGCACCTGGAATCACAAGAATGCTTTAAGGGCAGCACGTTCGCTCCCGTGAAGAATTTTACTTGCACTTCTCTAGCTAAGGGCAATCGTGCCACCGATTACACCATCAAGGCATCATTTTCTCCTTACCCAGCTTTTAGGGATCTATTTACCATAGCTTATCACGGTTTACGGACTACTTGATTTTTCCTCAGTGGTCCTGCCGCGAATGGCTAGAGCACAGACGATTAGAGAACATGTGAATACCCTGGGACTAAGCCTTTGAGAAAAGGGGACCCGCGAGAGAGCGCGGAAGCGGTCTAAAGGGCTGGGTTCAAGTAATCTGTCGACAGCTTATCAGCACCAACGCGCACAACATGATGAGGAAGTTAGCTGTCATTGGAAGTGGAACGCGAGGCCAGACAAAACTGTGTTGTTCTAGAGGTTTGGCTGCTGCTTTTGGCCACATTTCCTCAAAGAACGTTATCCCAAGGATGCTGAGTTATGGCGATAGTGTTTTAGCCATAAATCAGCACCCTTGTAATAAGGTTCGAGGTAACAGGTTGTGAACGGCTGCTAAACAATAAACAATAACAGTCAATCAATCAATATCAATCAAACTCACCTATAAATATTTTCCAGCGGGTATGTCCATTTTTATTTTTCGTGAGCAGACGTTTGCCTAAGATGCCCATTTCTTTCCTTGCCATTCCTTTTTCTAGCTTAGATTAGTATCAGTTCCCATTGTAGAAGTCGTCTTCCTAAGAGGATTACGAGCCATTAGTATGAAAAAGTGCACAAAAACCCAGTCGTGACGGTTTCATTCGTTGATTTACAATTGTTCATAAGCTTGAAGGGATTTTCCATTGTAACAATCTGTTTTAGTGCGTCATTATTCGAGACATCAAGCCGAAAACACCGCATCATTTTCTTGCCGTTAGTAAAGCTCACATCAACAGGCCGACAGATCTCACCGCCGCCGACATTCCGCTGTGTTTGTGTTTTTGCTAGAGATAAAAGCTTCTATGTCTTCTAATGCATGGGAAAGGTCGCGTAATTTTTGCTAGGATTTCAGTGATCGACATGGAAAAGACAGGTCGAGAGTATCTTCGAGCAGAACTGAAAGCGAAAGGACAAGCGGATACTGTAGAGGATATGCTTCGAGTTGGATTTCACTGGCCACCACTGGTCACCGTTAACCACCTACACATGCATATCATCTACCCTATCAGCGAGGTAAATATTATAGTTATTAAAATCATTGGCTCACTTCATCAAAAAGGGCGACCTGTCCAATCCATGTAAACATCCAAACTAGTATATGACATGCGCCATGAATGGCATGCAATTGATGCACTTTTCTGCGTCAGTTGGTTAGATTTAGCTCAAAAAATGTCGACTGTCAAGAGGGGCTGTGTAGCGCTGCAGACCGGCTTTCGCTAGGGCGGGACGGGACTGGGTGGATGGGTAGTTTCCATTCTTCCTTTACCCCTCTTATGTCTCTCGTCCCCTATTCGTCTCGGCATCGCCCGACCTCAGGGCGGCGGCTGCCAGGCAAATCCCAAATTTCTCAGGGATGGGTCTTCAAAACTGCGTTCTTCTGGACGCTTCCCCCTATTCTTGATCATGAAGTAGTCGTCATCGAGCAGAGATGAGACGCCAAGTTTGGCGGACCATACGCGGTGGACGCCTTGCTGCAGGGGTTCCATGTCGCACATCTTCCCAGCCGTTTCGAGCTCTTCTACGCTACAGTTGGCCGTATAACTTCAGAAGAGGGTCAGCCCACCGTGTAAGGAGGGAGGAGGGCACATGTTCCTCACATTCATAAAATTGCTCGCATTTTCTACGCGGTTTTTTTTGCAATAATGATCTGTAAATTTCCTTGAATTTCGCACTTCTATTCGGAATCGCTTGGTTGAGTTAGGAATTTTCAGTTGGCGCTACTTTTTTATTTTTTTGATTTTGGCTTTTTTTTTCTTCTCTTTTATCGCGCTACTTTTCACCCGCATTAGGTGCAGCGGTGCTATTTAATCGGCTTCCTATCATTTTCTCACCCCTGTTACTTAAAATATCTATGACAGGTTTTATACTGCACAACTCTGGATCGCTACGTGATTTTCTGCTTGTTGTGCTGAGCTGGAATAAGATTTATGAGTCTCAGCTAATGTATGGGTTTTTTAGTGGAAGATAAATTTTCTTGATTGGGTAAATGAGGTTGGTCCAAACTATGATTCCTCTCTCTCTCTGGCGCTTCAGAATGGGACAGATGGCTTTTGTGACTGTATCACGACATTCACGATAGCCTCCACCTGCAAGAGGACCATTTTTTGGTCACAATGGGCTATACCCTGAACGAATATGTAGCAATTATGCAAGCCTTTCAGTGTTTCTCCACAACGTTGAAAATGCTTTCAGCTCGGCTTCTTCTCACGTCATTTAACGTTCCGTCCAGGAAAAGTGTTTCGACCAACGAGTGAAGTTATTGAAGAATTGAGGAAAGACGCTAATATCCCTGACCCACTTCGAGGTAAGCCACTTTATTCATTGCAATTTTGTTCCAAGAAATTATCGTGGATCAGTTCAAGAAAATCCTGCAAAAGACGATGAACCGGAAGCACTGCCAGCACATGCTGTCGCCAACTGATCACTCCACCCTTTCGACAGGATACACTTCTCTTTTCAAATGGTTGTTTGGGATTTGAATTTTCGACTGTTGTTCTTGATGCCCACATTTTCACTCGTGTAAATTTCAACACATTCGCTGACAATGTGACTCACATTTGTAAATTTATATTCTTCATTGGTTATATGTTGAATATCGTGTGGTATGTCAGCTGTTTTTTCATCGCTGGCACAGGAGAGGTCTTTGATCTCTTGCCGTTTTCTATCGTTTACAGTCGGATTACAAACTAGGGAGCATAGAGTGAGAGTTCTTACCGGGGCTACTCTACTACTTCTTTAGTACTCCATTAATTCTTTTGCCCTTTGGTCCGCGATGGTCACATAATGGACGCGATCTATTTTTGATGTAGCTGAGCATACATTGAAATCATTGCCAGGTTGATATTATCAGCCATATCAACCACTCATAATCATGCACTTGTCATCGTGTTTCTATATTGATTGCTATGTTGCTTTGTAATTTGCTCGGAAGCTATTGGTGCCTAAACATGATAACTTTCGTCCGTATTCCAATGTATATATCAATGTATAAACTGCGCTTTGAAAAAACAGGGCAGAGCGTTTTTGCAAAATCGGTAGCGATGCTGTTTTGACACGCGTTAACACTGCTAAGGCCTATATACTTTGATGACTAGCTATTTAGTATTATGATGGCCTCATGTTCATACTTTATCAGTGTCAATAAATGAGAGCGTAATTTGTTTTTTCCGGCTTCATATTTGCTGTCACCGATCTTGCTCGAAGACAAGGGTCTCCGGATTTCTTACAGCAGACACATTACTATTCATCTAACATCAATGTAAAAGCCATGTGAATCACTAATGGGCCTTCCTAGGGGGAGGGGAACAGAGTTCACGAGGAGGCGGTCGTTTGCCGAAGCCTTTTTTTTTTCGGCAAAAGTGCCATCGGGGCATACAACGACTACTTGAAGTTCTTAGTGGTACTGCGCAAATGGCTAGAGCACTCATGATTAGAGAGCTCCGCATGGCTCAGCTCCAGAGTTGAAGAGGGAACGTTAGGGTCCCAAAAGTAGCCTTGATAGGAGAGGGAGGGGTACTCCGGGGTGGGTAAGCCAACAGTGTGGCAAAGTTTGAATTTCGAGATCACAGTAGTTATCAGCCGCTATCAAGGCGAGAGGGTAGGGGGAGCATTAAATTGAGGCGGTTCAAAGGACCGGATTCTAGTAACTCGTAGACGGCGTGGAGCATAGCTGGCTTCCCATTCCGCCCACGTTAGTACGGCGCTCATTTCATCAGATTCAAGTGAATTCATTCAAGTTCATTCAAGTGAGTGAGCCACTTACAGCACTTGAGAGCCTTGTTAGGGAGGGAAGAGATTCCGACGAGGATCTGAGCCATCAATGTCCCTCTGGCGTTTCTTCCTTTACCATCGGCCCGCATTCGATGCTTCTCCCACCCACCCACGCCCCTGCCCCCTCCCCCCGTCTAGGGATATGAGCGCCGTTATTATTGTGAAAGTCTCCAATGGAGGGTGTGGACAGTCATTACTCTGTTTGCCTTTTTGACGCCCTCACTTCTTGGACATGTGAGTTGATGGAAAAGTGAAAGAAAAACGCGAAGGTTCTCAACATCACACTGCGCTGATGGTATGGGCGGATTTTGCACCCCCACGTTAGCGGTTCCTCCGATGTCGTAAAACATGGTAAAGAGTGGGACCAACCAGTGGAGCGACGGAGCGCGAACCACGCTCATCCGATCAGTGCGTAATGGGGTTTCAGGGATTTTTTCTAGGCAGTTTTTCTCGCTTTCTTTCATCGCTAATATACCAATCACCACAATTGCTTTTACACCAGACGTAGTGGGCTAAACCAAAAGAATCGCGGAATGTGGGTGGTAAGATTATGGTGGCCCTCTGCCGGCCTAATGTGGTCGTATTATGTGATAATGAGTCACACAAATGGTTGAACATGTCTGGGCGACACGAACGATCTGCGCGCCGCAATTCGAACTGGTTTTCGTCTCACGGCCGCCGCGTCTGACGTCGTCTCATGAAACAATGTACGAGAGTCGAACTTTATCCCCAATGTCGCCTGTAATTTTTGTTAGTACGGATGTAGCTAACTATAGGTCTAGACGAAATGGTGATGTTACCTAGCTTACTATCACAACAGATGAATTAGTCTCTCCCCTCAAAAAAAGCATACATAAAAGGAATAAAATGGTCTATATCTTCCAAAAAATTTTTGAAGACTAGCTTTTGGCCATT